TGCACAAAATAAGTAAAAGAGAATTTTAAAAAGTTACCTCTAAATAAAGTTACCTCTCTCAAAAGTCAAAAGAACAATATAATCTTCTTTATAAATTGAACTTTCACCAATCCCAAAAGTAAAAATATTTCTTTTTGGAGAAATTATAGTTAATTAATGATAGTGATGATGGAGATTGTCAAAAGTGTCTTCACATTGCAAGAATGTCTTCATTTTTTAATGACAATATATATGTGGAAAATCGACGTTGCATAATATATATTAAGGACCCTCTAGCAATATTGATGTAGCACATAAAAATCGCTTAGTAAATCGGGAGTGATTAACTCGATCTACGGATAAGTCGTAGTTAAGATCTCGAATCAATAAGAGTACTAGTAGCTCGACCCACTAAGAGTATTAGTAGCTCGGCCTAGTTAGAGTATTAATAGCTCGGCCCAGAAAGAGCATTAGTAGCTCGGACCAATAGGAGCATTAAGTAAGAGTATTGATAGCTCGGTATAGCATGAGCTCGTAACATGAGTGGCTCGGCTTAACAGTAGATGGGCTTAAGGGTTCATCACATGAGGAGTAGCTCAGCGTGATGAGGCAGAGTAACCTGTGAAAAGCTAGGAGCCGGACTGAGGTGGCAATTATGTAAACTGATATATAGGGAACCCGCGTAAGGTTAGGATCAAAAGGAATAAATGATGTGGCAGATGAGGAACAAAGCATACGAGAGAAGATAATAATTGTATAAAAATAGGTAATTGGGAAAGAATGTAATGTTAACCACACTCTAAAACCCTAACACTTCATACATTTACAGAGAGCTTTTCCATAGCCCTTTACTGACTTGATCGTCGGAGATTTAGCGCCGAAAACACCTCCATGCGTCTTTGCAGGTCTCCGAAGATCAAACAGTTGAGTTTGGGGAGAGCTGGTTCACGGTGCGAGAGCACATCAAATATTATAGTATAATATTACCTTCTATTTTTTTAAAATGTCATTTTAGTTTTACCAACAATTAACTAAATAAATGACGTTTTAGATCTTTTGTACATATTTTATCATTATTACTCTCCTCTAGTTAATAAATACACTTATGTCTTTTCATATTAACTTTTCATCTATTCTCAAAACATTCATCCATATCCTCATTAATGAGGGTTATATTGGCAAATAAAAATTCTTAATTACTGTACAACTTCCCAAAACGACACTTATTAACAATAAGAGGAAGTATAATTCTGCATAATAAACTCCAATTGAATTAACAACTTCAAATTGTTCTAGCAAATGAGTAAAATCGAGTCGAATTAATAATTTCAGATTAACTAGATTGTTCTAGGTAAATAAGGCTGTGTTTGGTAGACAAATAAGCTAGCTTATAACTTATTTGGTTAGCTTATAAGCTCTCTGTATTCAAATAAGCCTCATTTGGTAGCACGAGCTTTTTTAAAAAGCTCGAGCTTATTTGAAAAGCTTCTTTAGGTAACTTTTCAAATAAGCTAGTTGAATTTTTTATTCTAGCTAGCTTATCAGCTTATTTTACCAAACATTTTTATCATATAAGCTAACTTTTCAGTTATAAGTCATAAGCTATGAGTAGCACTGTCAAAACGGGCCATGGCCCGCGGGCTGGCCTGCCCGCCCGCCTAAACGGACGGTCTTGGGCCTTTGCTTGGCCAGCCCGTTCAATCGCGGGCCTATTTGGCCCGCCCCGTTTGGCCCGCGGGCTGGCACGGGCCAGGGCGGGCCGGACCGCGGGCCAGCCTGTTTTTTTATTTTTTTATTTTTTTTTTATGATAAGTATTGTATATTTGTATTCTTTTTTTTTTTGCCTTGAATTTAATTGTATAATATAAATATGAAATAAAATGTAATTTTTTTTTATGACAAGTATTGTATTATTTTTTTTCTTGAATTTAATTGTATAATATAAATATGAAATAAAAATGTAAAGACGTGAAGAATTTGAGCAAGGTAGAGATTTGATGGAGCTGACAAAACATTGGTCGTCCACTTTTAAATGTCTCAATCCAATCACTTTTCTTAATATAGCATAATAACAACGACAATTATTAAAAATAGCCAATTATTAAAGGATGAAAGGTTTAATTTCATTTTGCATTTTACCACAATTCAATCACAATATATGGTCACCATCGAGATCAAAATGTTGTACAAGTAATTCTATTCCCACTGTTCTTTTTTTCCTTTTATAGTTTGAATTTAAAAACCAAAATTGCATTATAAATTACAAAAAAAAAAATAATAATAACAATAAAAAAATAATAAGTAAAAAAAAAAACCGCGGGCGGGCCGATTTTGCACGCGGGTGGGCTGCGGGCCATGGATTTCCCAGCCCGTAGAAATGCGGGCCATTTTGGCCCGCCCCGTTTGAACCACGGGCCAGCGCGGGCCGGACCGGACCGGCCCGTTTGACAGTGCTAGCTATGAGCTCAAAAATTACTGATAAGCTATAAGTTAGTTTATCAGCTATCAGCTAGTTTTATCAAACATAGCCTAATAAAAATCAACAAGTCGAATTAATTTCAAGTAAGCTAGATTGTTCTAAAATGTAAAGAAAAGTACAACAAATTGGTCTCGGAACTGAGTTTTGAGTTTTTCAGGTCCCATTTTTTTTTTTTTTTTTTTTTTTTTTTTTTTTTTTTTTTCTATTTATTTGAAACCTAATATAAATCATATTATATATCCAATACATGTAAGGGCCATTGACACGTGTCCTTTTTTAAATTAAACAAGTAAATAGATAAATATATTATCTTTAGTAAAAAAGTAATTTAATGTCGCATCAAATCATCTTAATAGAAGCATTCAACTAATATTTTACTAAATTGTAAGCACGACATTAATTACTAGGCAAAATTTCGAATGGAACTTCCGTGCAAATTTGTTAAATGGGAAAAGATAGAACATACTGTTATTAATATTTATAACATATATAAAGTATTTTTGGACATAACTCAATGAATATTAAGATAAAAATGGTAATAACTTATCATGATAAGATTTAGGTGACAGTACCATATATTCACTTCTTATTTTGAACTTTGAAGAGATTCTACAGTCCCGTTACGGAATTATTGTGTCGAAGTTTATAACCATTAGATCAATTATCCAAGACGATTGCATGATGATCTCAGTTAAAAATCTCGACGGAATAATTTCGTGACGAAATTGTAACATATCCCTGAACTTGAAGTTTCATTTTATTTTTTATTTGTTTCCCAATTTTTGTTGTCCATTAGCCTAAATGAGAAATGTGAATCACACGATTTACTAAGTGGAATTCTGAATCAGACGTCAGCAAATTGTCTGATAAATTGACACAAATGCATTCGAAGTGGACAAAAGAAAACCCACTTTGGCTAAATTGTCCAAATGCTCAAAAAAAAAAAAA